ATGCATGTCGTTGCTCTAACAACTAAAATTAAATGTACCGTCGTAATTTACATTAACTTACATCACACTTATACATATTGCATATCACTTGTATCTAAAATATATATCATTCAAACTTAATTTCTCTAATTTTCTTGTCCCTTTCTCCCGAGGTGCTGCTTTCTGGCAAATCCATTGACAAGATTTTGCTCTCCATGAGATGATTGTAGGAACCAGCCACTTTGAATTTTCCTTGCTTATCAAAATTCCACTTTCATCTATCAGGTTGGTCTGGTCTAAGAGTATCCACAGCAAGAATAGCCATTTTATCTCTGCTAGAGAAAGCATTGTGAATGAGTTGCACATTCCAGCTTCTGCCATCTTCATGGATCAAGTCTTGCACCCTTATCAATTGCTCCTTCCAGAATTCCAGCAGTTGTGGACTTTGATGGTTTAGCTTAGGAACCCAGCTGTGGTCACTTATCAGAGTCTCTTTCCCATCTCTAACTTCCTTGCACAACCCTTTTGCAAAGATAGGAATGATGTCCATCCAGTTATTCCATAGCCAAGACCCCGAGCTCGTCTTTTTAGCTTCAAAAATGGAAGTAGCAGGGTAGTACCTAGCCTTCAAAAGCTTACTGATGAGTAGCTCCGGTTTAGTTGTGATTCTCCATAACTGTTTCAGAATTAGAGCCTCATTGAATAGCTTATAATCATGAAAGCCCAACCCTCCATTCAGTTTGGGAATTGTTAAGCTATTCTAATTCTTCCAATGAATCCCTTTCTCAGTCACAGTTCCCTTACTCCACCAGAAGGCTGCTGTTATCCTACTGAGTTCATGGCAGATGGCCACAGGCAGTTTAAAACAACTCATGGCAAAAACTGGCAAGGCATTAACCACGGCTTTAACAAGGACTTCTTTACCTGCACTAGACAAGTAGGTGTTCTGCCAACTGACCAATCTCTTCTTCACAGCTTGAACAATAAAATCAAAAGCGTCTCTCTTGGCTCTTCCTATTCCTAGTGGCAAACCCAGGTACTTTGTTGAATTGTGAGCTTGAACCCCATTCAAGACTGTACAGAGAGACTGTTTCAGTTCAGCAGGTGTATTCCTGCTAAAAAATACAGTGGACTTAGTGAGGTTCACTTTCTGACCTGAAAACTTCTCATAAATATACAGGATATGGAGCAAATTCCTAGCTTGGTCCAAATCAGCCTTACAGAAGACTAAAGAGTCATCTGCAAACAACAGATGTGTGATAGTTGGGCAATTCTTAGCAATTCTGAGACCTCTGAAATGATTTCTGTCAACAGCCCTCTGAATAAGAGAAGAGAAAATTTCTGAAACTAGAAGAAAGAGGTATGGTGATATAGGATCACCTTGCCTCAATCCCCTAGTAGGCAAAATATATCCCACAGCCTTGCCATTCACCAGAAAAGAGAAAGAGGATGTAGTTATACAGGGCATAACCCATTTTACAAACCCTGCTGCAAATCCCATCTTCTCCATTGTTTTCATCACACACAGCCACTCCACCCGGTCATATGCTCTGAGCATGTCAAGCTTTAAAGCCATAAAGCAGTGAGGACCAGACCTATGCCTGTTCAAGTAATGAAATATCTCCTGTGCCATTACCACATTATCAAGGAGCTGCCTTCCAGGTATAAAGGCAGCTTGAGCTTGGTTCACACACACATCCAAGCATCCTTTCAATCTGGAAGCCAAAATCTTGGAGATAATTTTGTACACTACTCCACAGAGACTAATGGGCCTGTACTGACTCAAAGAAGAAGGATTATTGCATTTTGGAATTAGGGCTACCAGAGTTTGATTCCAATACCTAAGAATCTGACCTGAAGTGAAGAAACTTGTCACAGCTCTGCAGATATCAACTCCAATTACTGGCCAAAAATGCTGGTAAAAAAGTGCTATCATCCCATCTTCCCCCGGGGCCTTGAGAGGGTAAAAGGCAAAGTGAAGCATTTCATTTGGAAATGCTTCAATGGCATCCTGCCAGTGAGTATGAAGGTGGCAAAAAAGGGAGTTCAAGTGGATATTATTTGCAAGCAGTGTGGGGAGCAAGAGGAAACAATAGAGCATCTCTTTTTCAAATGCAGTAGAGCAAGAACGGTGTGGAAAATGGCACCAGTGAAATGGGATGAAGCACATCATGATGAGACCTCATTCCGGCTTTGGTGGTGGCAGATTTGCTCGACAGACACAACACCTATTTCCGAAGATCACATACAACTAACAACGTACATACTATGGTGGTTGTGGCGGTCGAGAAACTTATGGATGTTCGAGAACGTGTGGATGCCGGAGACTGTGGTGGTGCGAGGCGCATGGAAGGAATGGCAGGATTTTGCGGGTAGTAAGTCGATTACGGCTATTGGAGATTAGTTTTCTGTCTTTGATGTTTTGGGGGTTTCCTTTTTGCTTTCAGTTTTTAGTGTTGCTGCAGCTTTTATTTTGGTTTCTTTGGTGGTTTAACGGGTCTTGGTCTCGGGGGGCATGTCCCTGCTTTGACCCGTTGTTAGGTTTGTGTTTTTAGAACATTCTTTGAGTGTCTCTCCCAATGTGTTTTTTTTCGGTTGTGTTTCCGGCTTGTACTAAACTTTGGTTTTTTCGTTATGGAGATATTTCTATCGNTTAATACAAACCAATACTTTATCACAACCGAAATTAAATGTACTTTAAATCACAACATACATCAAAGTTGGTACATCAATTTTATTCATAATGTACATCATGTTAGAATATATGACACATATTTGCACATAACCACATAATTATAATTTTATATTACCTCTTGATTAGGTAGCGTAAGTACATTGAATCCAGGTAAGCCCAAAGATTTTGATCGACCCATCTACAAGCATTCTCTAGGTTCGGATTTGATTAATGTCACGAGCACCACATGTATCCAACTAACAAATTGTTCACGCCAATGGATCTACTAGAGTGTCTACCAATTGAGTTGACACGTCTTAAAAGTTCATGTGTTGATTGTCCAAGAATAAAATAAAAGGAGGATATATTGAGGGAGGAAGAGCACGTCGTGCGTGTGTATGTACTTGATATCTTTTCTTTTTGAAAGAGATCATATATATACATCTCAATAAGAGTTGTTAAATGAGTTAAGATTCAACTTGTGAAGTTAGAGCTCAGCTCGTTCGTTTATTTAAACTAGTAGAGCTCGAACAACCTCGAGTTTATTAGTAAACGAGTCGACCAGAACTTGTTCGCGAACAACTTGTTTTTAATCTATTTTTTTTTATTTCATATGGGTTCTGGTAAATGCTTAAATAGAAATATGGAGAGACGCGCTTGAAACAAAGGGTGTCAAAATAAGTAGGGCCAACATGGAATATATGGAGTGTAATTTTAGTAATCAAAGGAGTAATAATGGGGTAAAGGTTGAAATAGGGAACATAAATTGAACACATCTAAAAGTTTTAAATATTTCGGATCCATTCTAGAAGATAATGGCAACATAGTTAAGGATGTAACACATAGAATTCAATCGGGTTGGAACAAGTAGAGGAGCGCGTCGTAGACACTTTGGGATCATAAAGTACCAGTGAGTTTGAAAGGGATGTTCTATCGAACGACCATTCGACGAACGATGCTTTATGGATCCAAGTGTTGGGCTACTAAATATGAAAATGGTCATAAGATGCGAGTGGCAGAGATGAGAATGTTGAGATGGACGTGTGGGCATACTAGATTAGATAAGATTAGAAATAAAGTTGAGGCAGCGCCCATACAGAAGAAAATGAGAGAATCACGATTAAGATGGTTTGGGCATGTGCGTAGGTAAAACTTTAAAATTAAGAACGTAAATTAAAAGGGAGACGGGTAGATTTAAGAAAAACTTGGAAGGAGACAATAAAAAATAATTTAAAATATTTAAATTTGAATGAGGATATGTGCTTTGATTGAGCGCAATGGCAATATGTGATCCATATAGCCAACACCATTTAGTAGAATTTTAACGGCTTCTTGATTATTGATTGATTTCGTATAGGTTCTAAATAGACCAATTAAGCTGAAATTGTTCGCGGACAGCTCGTCCAAGGTTTTAGATTTATTAAACAAGTCGAGTTGAACTTTCACGAGTTGAGCTGAAGCCGAGCCTTTGGCTTATTTTTTAAATGAGCACGAGCTCGGACATGGTCTACTCGGTTTAGCTCAAATAATACCCTTAATCTTAGTACCATGTATTTTTCTAATTCTTTTAGGGATTATCCAATCTTCAAATATGCAACCTAATCACTTTATGGCATCTCTATATTTGACTTGATGTATTCTCCAACATTCCTATATCATTTACTAAATAAATATAGACATAAATTGATAAGCTCTACATATTATACACCAAGCTATTTCTAAAAAGGATGATTCATGGGATAAATGTCATAGCGCAAGCAACTATCTTAAATCACATACTGATAGAGTTAAGGGTGAAAGCAAACAAAAATAATAGATAATATCAATTATTAATTAAGAAAATAACTCGAGATGAATGCCGCCCAGCCAAAGGCCGACACTTCGAGAAGAAACTGCTCGCTCAAGCTTAAAGTCGACAATTCTATGCAAAAAAAATAAATAAATCCATTCTAAGTTTACACTAATGAACTTGTAATAAAGTTGGTAAGCTAATGAAGACAATTTGAACTGATTATTTAATATATGTGATAAATTTGCCAAAATAGAATTCATCTCCAAAAGCCAACACGAACAAAAAAGGTGTTCAACCCACACTGATGCAGTAAAAGCCACTAACTTACTGATGTCGGAATAAATTTCTAACACTGTACTCACACATAGTGTGTCAATACATATGAGTTATCGCCTAAAATTGCCACCTAACAAACAAATCAGGGTGCTCTGATGCCATGTTATGAAATTTGAGTTATTGCCTAAAATTGCCACCTAACCAATAAATCAGGGTGCTCTGATGCCATGTTATATAATGTTAAATGAGTTTGAGTAGATCTAATGACTAAAAGCTAAATTTCGCAAGGCAAAGAGTTCAACCCACACTTATGCACAATAACAGTCCCCTAACTAATTGATGTATACACCGTAGGTTCGTCCCTTTTAGAAATAAATTGTTGGTATATTCTTGATAGTATTATGTATAAGTTTGATATGTACAACAACAACAACAACGACATACCCAGTATATTCCCAACAGGTTGGGGTCTGGGGGGTCAATTGTACGCAGACCTTACCCTTGTAATTATACAAGGAGGCTGTTTCCGTAGCGACCCAAGGTGAATTGCGCCGTTTGATATATTTTTTTTTTCTAGAAACTTCACTAATAGAAGAAGCACTAGAATTTAATTGAGCCATTTTGATCTAGTCCATTATTAGCACTATGCCAGGAGTATAAGTTTGATCTGTATTTTGCTTTAATATATATATTTGAGCTTTAATAATAGTGCAGCAAGCACAAGTTTGTTCCTTTTAAGGATTGGCAAGCTACATATGGGGGTGGATGTTAGAAGTTAAGTTTGTTCCACATCGATTAGTTATTGAGATGTTTTATGTATAAGTGTGGCTTGGACACCCTCTCCCTTTGACCTAACTTTTGGGGATGAACTCACCCATGCATATTTAGCAATCATAATAGGTTGAAGAATTTTCTCTGAAGTGAGTAACAAGTTCTGAATTATCCAAGAGAGGCAATACACATAATTAGATGGTGTATTGTTAAAAGCAATAATAAACTTGGTACCATCAAAGTTTGCTAACAATATAGCTTTTAATGAAAATAATAGAACCAAATACAAAGAAATCTTCATGAATATATGATCCCTTAGTATTTCTATAATCCAATATGACAGTCATGTGGTTGAATTGTGTGTTTTTGTTTAATTATATACCTACAACATCAGCACAAATATGATGAGAATTACCGATACATTATGTTATTTATTGCTAGTTTTGGCAAAGAGAAGAAGAAAACTTAAGGCAACAACTACAGTACTTGCAAGAACGCCACAGGTAAATTTTCCTCTTATATGTATATGGGAGTTAAAGTTCATCCACATTGTGTCCAGTCACACCATTGATAACAAAAAAGCATATGACATAACCACAAATATCAAGCTAAATCGGTAGGCTATATCCACTTAGATGAAGAATAAGAGTGTAGTTATTTCATATTACACTTAATGTGATGTCCTTTCCGTTGATAAGGTGTTTTGAGCGTGCATATATTATTAAAGATTGAAAGATTGTCATTCCGAGGATAGTTGACAGAATCGCATTACATTTTGATCAGTTTGATTTTCTTCACATTTCAAAGATCAGTTTTCAATATATCCTCTAAGTTGCATTTTTATATCAGCCTTCTATAGAACATGGAAGTGTTCAAAAGATTGATAATCAAAAAGGAAAATTAGAGATTGTAACGATAGAGTTTTTTAATGTTATATTTTACGTTTTATTACACTATGCATCTCGTGGTAGTGTAAGTTGGACCAACTCCTTTATATTGACAATTAGAGGAGATGAGAAATAATATGCCTGAAAATATTTAATTTTAATTTATGTAGGTTTATTTTGATATACTGTTTCCTTCCTTTCCAATATATGAGGGTTCCTAAACTCATTGTACAAGCTAAAAGGCTTAAATCATAGAAAGGAAAAAGTGAAGAAAACGAAAAAATCGAATAGAAATATTGATTGATGGGTGGAAAATGGTTGTAGCTGATGGTTCAAAAGGAATTTTTCACTAAATCCCTATTCTAGATTTTAGTTTTGCTCAAATTGTATTCGGTTGCTAGCTACCCCACCCCAGTTTCTTTCTAGTATTGTGCATCATCACCATGCTTGGGAACCTTATAATTAATTATCTGATAAGTTTCTATATATTTTTATCCATTCAATAAGAAAAATATATAGTTTATAAAGGAAATTCTGGCACAGATAACAGAATAACAACAATTTAAGTGAGTGTTTGTTCAGCTACAAAGTCTTGATAAGATCTCATGAATCATTAAAAAACCAGCACTCTCATAATAAAATTTGATGAACACACTTGGTGAGAGCAAAGATTGAAACCGTACAAGTTTTTTGTGTTACTAGGCAACTTTTGGGAGAAGAGCTTTCTGGATTGAGTACCAATGACCTCCAAAATCTGGAAAATCAACTGGAAATGAGTTTGAAAGGCGTGAGAGTGAAAAAGGTAAGCACATCTGATTTAATAATTAGCTATTCATTTGTAGTTTTTTCTCCTTCTTTCACACACCAGTACAAAGAGGTTTGAATGCATTTATATTATGCAGGAACAAATTATGACTGAAGAAATTAAAGATCTAAAGCTGAAGGTCTTGTCCATAACAATTATATATTTTTAGTGGTGCAATAATGATCTAGTTTAATAATCTTCATTGATGTTGAAGCAGGGAAATATGATTCAGCAAGAAAACATAGAGCTGCACAAAAAGGTCAACCTTCTCCTTGAAGAAAATGCAAAGTTACAGAAAAAGGTATTACAAATTATGATATAAGCAATGCAAAGTACGCAACCATTGTAGAATGTTTGCCAAGAATGCACAATACTTCTTATATAAACTTAACAAACCTTTGGTGCAGGTTTACGGCCATGTTACAAATACCATCAACAACGAACATGATCTAAATGCACCCATAAACCTCGAGCTTAGTCAGCCACAACATCAGAAAAATAAAGCACCTGATGTGGTGGAGCTAGGGTAATTCCAATTATAGATTCACAGTTATATATGTCTTGGCATTTTTTTTCCACCCAATCAATCTTCACAGTCATGATAATAGTTTTTGCAACAGGCTGCACTAGCATTGGAAGCCCTAGAAAAAGTTTATCACATATGTATCAACTTAGCTCACGATTCAAAAAACCAGGCCTCATTTGACCGGAAAATGCCATGGTACCGTGATAGGTTGAATGTGCATACCTCACCTTAGACATCAGACTTCGGTTTGATGAAAACATCTTAAGATATTTTATATTTTTATCTGTATAGATCGATTGGAAATTGTGCGAAGTTGTTAATAAGTTCCAAGAGAAGGAAACATGGTATGTGAAAGGTTTGTTCTTGCTAAATGTTGCAACAATTAATGATTGTAATACTGGTGCTTGCTTGATCTTGATTTATATGATGATTATTGGTTGTGAAAGCCGAGGAAAATGTGCAAGAAAATAAAAACAATGAGTTCAATTTTTGAGAGCATAATCTCCATTTTCAACCAATGTAGTGGAATAATAATTTACAGATTTCAAATTGCAGCAAGATGCAATTGCAATATATAATACAGTCTCATTGTCAAAACCAATGAGTGTAGATGGTTGTAGTAATAAATAAATCATGTACCAAATGCTTGTAGTAATAAATAAATCATGTACCAAATACACTTGCAACAAGATATTTACAATAACTAATAGGTAGTGCCTACATAAATTACAAATTATTACATAAAAAGTGTGAACCTTCATCTACTAAGTTGACAGTCTAGCTAGCACAGTTTTGCTACGAAGCCAACAGTTGGCTCCATAATAGAGCCAACCTTCTATATACAATAAGTAAATCAAACCAAGTTCTCTGATTACTTAAATAATACTGATAATTTTATTAATATAGTATGGTTTACTTGTTGTATATAGAAGGTTGGCTCCACTATAAAGCCAATTGTTGGCATCATAGCAAAACTGCTAGCCAGTAGTAACTCTACAATTTCTTAAAACTCACGACAGAGACCACATCCACTATGCATTAACTTTTGAATTCGTTGAGAAATAACTCATTAACACACTGATAGTATAAAACTAATTATCTGCATCGATAGTTTTAGGTTATTACTAGCTCGAAAAGTTACTAAATTAGATATGTGTTAATATGAATAGCCACATAAAAGAGCAGGACTCATTATGGCCTCGTTATTAGATTAAGAATTACCCACATTACTTAGGGAATGCAACAAATATGATACATAGGTATTAGGTAACCAATTTTAAAATTACAATACATACAATTCATAAATATTGACCTTACCACCACTTTGTTACAAGATTAAATAAATTGCAGCAAATTAGACAACAAAATAAAACTTCAATGTTACAATTGTGTCTCGTCTTTGGAGTGGAACTACACCAATTGAGAATTTATTAATTATGCCCTCAACTTCAGACAAGCATTTCACAGAACAAAATATTTATTAATTCAGTATCAAGCATATCCAAGCCCGACACATATTTATTGAAACTAAATGGCCAAGCCACACTATATGATTATATGAGTTTGTATTTATGCACTACAACAGGATAATTTAGTCATGATTCATCAAAATTTTTTGGTCATGATTCATCAAAAATTTTTTGTCATGATTCATCCAAATTTATATAACAGTTCATATTCGAATAAGTTCCTCAAATGTCTAATTATCTATCTGTGAGTGTGGGAGATTAACTCTTAGAGAAAATCAAGTTTTTCTAGAGATTTTCCAAATGAGAGTAATTCAAATGCCAAGCCACATTATATTCGGCCTTACTCCACATTCCAACACTTGTAACAGCATAAACTTCATGCAGAATAATCATTGCATAGTTTTTTCCAATGCAGTATAATACTAAATGTGCAGATATAATAATAGAAGTACAAACAAAATTCATATATTAGAAATGTGTATGTAGCCGAAAAAGAGTTTCAAGAACAAGGTTCAACGTACTAACTGCTTGTAGCAATGTAATAAAAAAAAATTATGTAGGGATATTTATAATATTCTTTAGTAAGAGATTCATATAAACATCATAAACCCACTGACCAATAAAATCGTCAAATAAACATATATTATATAATCTGGGAAGGCAATAGACATGTGCATTTGTAGAAGGAAAAAATAAAAGTAAAATAACCAGTAAATTCTATAGCATATGTTAGAAAGGGTAATAACTAAAATCTACTGCCATTTTTCAAGGTCTTAACCAATTATCTTCTAAATATTTCAGCCGAAACAACTGCAACAATTTGATATCTAACAATTTTACCAAACAAGATTGACAATCTCTTCTAACAAATTTTAGATACCTGCGAAATATGAAATATCCCATAAATGGACTCATGGGAAATTCCAACAACTCGAAAAGCAAATTCAAACTGAGAATTCACACAACAATACACTTTTACATAACATATGCAAATCAATTAGATAGAAGATTGCAAACACAACTCAATCATACAACTAAAACACCACGAGAAACAGATGAATTCATGAGCATGTGGGCGCATAGCACAATCATGATGACCAAATTCAGAACTGAAAAACCAAATACATTCAAGAAATCTGAACTTTCTGGTTAAAGAAGATTGAGAACCGTACCTAAGAGTACCAAACAAAGTCCTTATATGTGATTTATTTCCCTAGAGTGTGCATCACCGCTTCATTTCTGGTCTTGAGAATGCCATGTCCCTTCACATCCTCGTCCTTGCGCAACCCAAATGAGACAGATTAGAATTTTGAAACAAACATAGGCGAACAATTCGAGTGAGAAGAACATACCATCGATGTGCAAACAGGCACAACCGTGTCTGGCTGTGATAAATATCAAAAGAGAGAAGAAAATATCTTCGGGAATACAGCGCAGAAGGATATATTTTTAGGCGTTGATTAGGTGCATCAGTGCATCTATAACTATCTTTTAAATATAATTATTTATATTTAAGAAAATAGATATTATTATTTTGTATATGATAGATCTCACAATCGAGTCAATAACACCTAAACACAATAAATATAATAAAAATTAATTACATGCATTGTCATACGATTTAAAATGCAAAATAATAGATAAATCATATTTAAAATGCAAAATAATTCGGCACGATGATAGTTTCTTCGATGGCTCGATCGACATCATGGTCACCCCTTACCAAAGGCAATATCTCACGACCCCTTGTATTGCCCTGTAGCGTCTCCTCAATGAGTTCTATGTCGATTGCCTCGTTTGGGTCTAGATCGACAACCTCATGCGGTGAGGACGCCGTAGCACCCTCCCCTGCCTTAGCTCCCACTGCCCTGGACGACGAGAACCCACCATCTCAATGGTTCCAGTCGACCCTCTCGTCTCCAGCCAGTTCAGTGTCGACAACATGGTGTAGTGAAGAAGACATGATCAATTTAATTAAAAAAAGGAAAAGAAAAAGGTTTTTTTACCAGAAATTCTCAAAAGTTGCAGAATGACGAAGAAAGGTAACAATGGCAGATCCAAAAAAATTCCAGAGAAAGACAATTTAAAATTCGCAAAGTGAAAAAGTCTAAAAGAGAAAAATATCGGCCTATTTATAGAAAGTGGTCGTCCATTGAACCAACGCCACGTTTATGCGAAAATAACTGTTTGGTAACTGCGGGCCCCACTCAAAATTTTGAAAAGGTACAATAGACGGTTAGATTAGTGCCACGACATTAAGAGAACTTAACCGACACGACTTTTGTGGAACGGACACCCCACAGAAATAGAAACCCTTCGGGTATCATCATTAATACCTAGGGAGATGCGCTTGTTCGATAAGCGCGTAAGTGGTTAGGGCGGTCCCTTGGTCAACTCGGACTCACTTTTAAATTGACGACCTCAGAAGAAACGACTGGTGTTTCTCCATCCGAGCTCGGGGGCCTGTATGTTAACATCCAAGCTGAGTTGGGTGGGCTTGAAGTTAAATACGACCGCTCAATGACGAAATAGCCGAGTTGAATACTCTGGTTGGAGAATTAAGAGTGAAACGAACCTCCGGAAGCAGAAAAAACTGGGTGATGAGCAAGAAGCAAACATGACACCTAGGTTGGGTAACCTTAAGTGTAAGGCCGACCAGGAAATTATCAAAGCCTGCAAAATCGAACTCAAGACGTACATAAAACGAGCCAAAAGATTGATATCCAATACCCAAGTCAAGCACACTAATGCTGTAGGAAATATTAAAATAATGGCAACTTGTAGCCAAATGATGATGGGACACCCCCACCAAAAGCCTGTCAGCCTATGTGCCATAGCCTTATAGGGTCACATGCCACATTAAACGCGTGTCTTTTCCATTTAATGCTTGATTGTACTGCCTGATGAACAGTAGCCGAACCAGCCTTATTATAAATAGTCTTAGGAATCCATTGTAAATGGATTCACAATTATTCTCTGCATTCGATATATATTCTCACAATTAATACTACAACAAATATGAATATTCGAGCTCATACGTCCAACATCCGACCTAATTTCTATTTATCTTGTTGCACGTTCCGCATAATATCTCGAATTAAAATAGATTAAACACCTTATTACTAATATTAACCTAAATACACATTCAAATCCGAATAAAAAAAATAATAACAAAACAAAAAGAAAAATCAAATGTGGCTAAAAGAAAAAGAAACACACAAAAAAATTAAAAAAAAAAAATCAAATGGGCACGGAGCTTTCTAGTAAGTTATAGTAGCCACATTTACGCTATTCACAAACCGCCTCCGTGGCTCCGTGCTCTCTTACACCACTTTATAAACCCTAAACCCTAGCACAAGCTGCGGGAAAAAAAGAACCCAGCTTTTCTCTTTCTCTCTATCTATCTCATCAATGGCGACCGCCGCCGTTCTTCGCAGATCTGTCCGTTCCATTTCGGCTATTGGAACTGTACGTATCTTCTGGAGAATTTATTTTCCGATTGATCTTTTTCCCTTTCGTTGGTTGTTCTCTGTCCATGTTTGCGAGCTAATATGTCTATTTCCTCATGTACTTGGTTAGATTCTGTGTGAACGGTGCAGATTGTGATTAATACTCAAATATTAACTGGAAATGTATTTTGTCAATTCGTGAGGTCTTTGATTATCTGTTCGGCGTTTCTTAATTTGCAACATACTGCTAAAAAGGCTGAACATCTATGCTCCTGATTGTTGTTTGATCATTTTTCATTGAAAGGTGTGTATTTTAGGTGAATTACCTTTGTCCTATTATATAAATCTGTCTTTCATAAAAGATTATCTTGGTTTTATGTCTTTGTCAGTTGATTTTGTTTGGATTGAATGTTCTTCTACTGTGTTTTGTGTGTGGAAATCCATTGAGCCCCCAAGTTTTTGAGCTGATTGATTAAATTTCCTTGTATCTTGCAACTCCTAGAACAATCAACACTTCCTTGCCTAATGAGCATCAGTTATCGATCTACTCAATATATTTTAAAATCTTATGGATATCATGTGAACAGTGCTCCAGGATTGTTCGATTGTTGTTTAACAATTTTTAGCACCTCAAGATGCCTACTTGATACTGAATCTACTCTTTTTGTACGTTTCTTTCAGTTAACTGGAAACATCAAGCCTTCATGGGCTCCAAGCAACAAATGGATGGGTCTTGCAAGGCCATTCAGGTACATTATCCAATCAAACTTCTGATAGAAAACCTTTTCGACAAAAATTCTAATTGTATTTCTCCTTGGCAGCACTAAACCAGCCGGAAATGATGTAATTGGTATTGACTTGGGCACTACCAACTCTTGTGTTGCTGTCATGGAGGGAAAGGTGAGACCTTTGCACATTAAAGCATGTAATCTTCACACTTTCCGATGATTAGATCGAAAACTGACAAATTGATCTTTCTTTCAGAACCCGAAAGTTATTGAGAACTCTGAAGGTGCTCGAACGACGCCATCAGTAGTCGCATTCAGTCAAAAGGGAGAGCTTTTGGTGGGAACTCCAGCCAAAAGACAAGCTGTCACTAACCCAACCAACACTGTCTTTGGAACCAAGCGTCTAATTGGTAGGCGGTTTGATGACCCTCAGACTCAGAAGGAAATGAAAATGGTCCCTTACAAGATTGTCCGTGCCCCAAATGGAGATGCATGGGTTGAAGCCAATGGCCAGCAGTACTCACCAAGTCAGATTGGGGCCTTTGTCTTAACAAAGATGAAGGAAACAGCTGAGGCCTACCTTGGCAAGACTGTTAACAAGGCTGTGATCACAGTTCCAGCTTATTTCAATGATGCCCAAAGGCAAGCTACTAAAGATGCTGGTAGAATTGCGGGTCTTGATGTGCAAAGAATTATTAACGAGCCTACAGCAGCTGCACTCTCTTATGGTTTAAATAACAAAGAGGGTCTTGTTGCTGTTTTCGATCTTGGTGGTGGTACTTTTGATATCTCAATCTTGGAGATATCTGGTGGTGTTTTCGAGGTAATGATATAGTTCTCTTATGCATTTCCAGCTACCAAATTGTCTTTTATACAATGGGAGATTTAATTACAACTAGATATGATGAAAGAATGCCATTGTTATCTGCGGGAATAGAAATATGTGTTAAAAAAATAAGTTATTACCGAACAATTGTAAAATACAATGACTTGTTCACTATTTAGGTGAAAGCCACGAATGGAGACACATTCTTGGGAGGTGAAGACTTTGATAATGCTCTATTGGATTTTCTGGTGAGCGAATTCAAGAGGACAGAAGGCATCGATTTGTCAAAGGACAAGCTCGCTCTCCAGAGGCTCCGTGAAGCGGCCGAGAAATCCAAGATCGAACTCTCGTCAACTTCCCAAACCGAGATCAACCTGCCCTTCATCACAGCCGATGCCTCGGGGGCAAAGCATCTCAACATAACTTTGACCAGGTCAAAGTTTGAGGCTCTCGTGAACCCCCTGATTGAGAGGACCAAGGCCCCTTGCCTGAGCTGCTTGAAGGATGCTGGCACGAAGATCACTGAGATCAATGAGGTTCTCCTTGTTGGGGGAATGACACGTGTCCCTAAGGTTCAGGAAGTGGTTTCTCAAATCTTTGGCAAGTCACCTAGCAAAGGGGTGAACCCTGATGAGGCAGTGGCAATGGGGGCTGCTATCCAGGGTGGCATTCTCCGTGGTGATGTGAAAGAATTGCTTCTTCTTGACGTCACACCACTTTCCCTTGGTATTGAGACGCTTGGCGGTATTTTCACCAGGTTGATCAATAGGAATACCACTATCCCCACAAAGAAGAGTCAGGTGAGAGCTCATCTTCAGCCTTTGTTGGTATTTTTTGTTATGATAGTTATTTGATGAATGGGAACCAAAGAAGTAACAAAAAAGAAAGAAAACCCATTTGTCACATATAAAGAAAACTCTACAAATTTTTTTCCCCCAAGGAAAATGAGCGTTGTCTGGTATAATATTTTGTCAAAACCATAGCTGTCTGGGTCCTTTTAGGGTGTGTTTGTAAACCAAATTACTCAATCCAAATTAATTCATACTCAAAATATAAATCAACTTTACTAATTCAATATCACTATCCTCAATATTATCAATATAATTAAATAATAACAATCAATCATTTTTTATCAACTTTAATTCACTATTCATCTACTCACATCATCATCTCTCCTATTCTTACATCAAATCAACTTTAACACTATTCATATCATCTCTCCTATTCTTACATCAAATCAACTTTAATTATTTTATTTTAAATATTATTTTAATATAAACTCAAAATCCTACTAACAACTGACTATACCCACTTTTTCCCTAGTCAACTAAAAAAAACTCACTTTGACTGAATTTATTGGTTTACAAACACACCCTTAATATCACTCATTCCCTTCATTTCTTGAATATCATTCGAATAACATTCATAATTCTCTTCATTCCGTTCATTTCAGTGGTAATACAATATCAAACCCCATATCAAGAACTTTTTGTTCTTAACTCAACACACTTATTACTAATGTTATAATCAATGTTGTGCCACACTTTCAGACATTCTCGACGGCAGCCGACAACCAAACCCAGGTCGGCATCAAAGTCCTGCAAGGCGAACGAGAAATGGCCACCGACAACAAACTCTTAGGCGAATTCGAGCTCCAAGGCATCCCCCCAGCACCTCGCGGCCTCCCCCAAATCGAAGTCACCTTCGACATCGACGCCAATGGCATAGTCACCGTCTCAGCCAAAGACAAAACAACCGGCAAAGAGCAGCAGATCACAATCAAATCCTCGAGCGGCCTGTCGGAAGACGAGATCCAACAAATGGTTCGTGAGGCAGAGCTCCATGCCCAAAAGGACCAGGAAAGGAAAGCCCTCATTGACCTCAGGAACAGAGCTGACACGCGAGTTTACGAGATTGAGAAGAGTTTGAACGAGTACAGGGACAAGATCCCTGCTGAGGTGGCCTCTGAGATCGAGGCTGCAGCCTCGGAGCTGAAGGCTGCGCTCGGGACTGAGAATAAGGATGATATTCAGGCGAAGCTTGAGGCGGCTGATAAGGCTGTGCAGAAGATTGGGGAGCATATGAGTAAGGGATCTGGAGGAGGAGGTAATGATAGTGGGTCTCAAGGAGGTGGGGATCAGGCGGCGCCTGAGGCTGAGTATGAGGAAGTGAAGAAGTGAGTGGAGTTTTTGATGTTTTATGAATTATTATATTATGAGATGATGTGAGGTTGGGAACTTTTGTCTACTCTTTATGTGCTACGGTAGTGTATTTATTTTTTATTTTCATTTTCATTTTTCAAGTTTTGATGAATCGGTAACAACTTGGATTTATTCAGGATTATGCATGCTAGTGACGTATCATCGATGAGTAGCAAGTGTTTTTTGAGATGGTTTTTTTTNTGTGGGATTTTGTTTCACTTGTGTTTGAGACCTTATTGTGCTGCAATAAATCTCCTGAGTTACCGATTGTGCCTCTTGTATGTGGTAGATTTTTTTGCTGTTTCTGGGGAGACTAAAGCTCTGTAGATTGTGGGTGGTTCGATGGATCTATTTTATCAAGTCCTTGTAATGGACAATATAGAACGGTAAAATAAATCCTGTGGATTATAAATAAATCTTAAATATTCTATGGAAAAAAAAAATCAGATCTTTGAATAATTAATTGCAATTATTTTACTATATGTTAGGTATTTATTAATTTAGTAAAAGTTAATTTAGTAGTTGGTTGGATAATGAAAATGATTTCTAAATTTGTGTTTCTTGATGAGGATAGTGCTTTTATTATATTTTTTTTTTATTGATTTTTACTGTTGCATGAATGTGAAACAATAGCAAATAAACTCATTTTTCATGTGTCGTAACCCTATGTGATCCAATATATAAAAGCTCACCGTCCATGTGACCATGTCCCTAGTACGGGATAAGAACACTTTTCAAGCAAGTGATAACTCAAAACTCAATTACTCGATACCTTCTAAGAAAGATAAAACTCGAAACTCAAATAGTCGACACCTTCTCAGAAAAATGATCCCGAAACTTCCAAGAAAGTGATAACTCGAGAAACTTCCAAGAAAGTAAGGACCCGATACTCTACACTTTCCAATGACTAAATGACTTGAAACTCAAATACTCAAATCTAAAATAAGCCTAAAGAAAGGGAGAATATAATCGGAAGGAAATCCTTCAAAAAGCAATAAAAATGTGATACTGTCGGCCAATTCGCAATTTTTATGGGTGATCTGATCCTTCGTTTGAGGAATGTGTTCGCATCTACTGCAATCCAGAATTGACAAAAACTCCCTAATATTAGAAAATACTCTTTGAGGAATGTGTTCGCATCTACTGCAATCCAGAATTGACAAAAACTCCCTAATATCAGAAAATACTTCAAGAAGAGGGTCGCATGCTTTCATTTGAATGAGTCCTCTTACGACACCTAAGGAGTCCTTCAAAACCGCCTGAAGTTTGAAGTCTGAATCCCGGACAAACGTAAACCATATGAAATAGCCAAAGCTTCCACTAATAGACCAGAAAAATAGCCCTTGATATACGTAGTAAAGGCAGCCTGACAAATGCCACCCGAGTACCGAATCCATCCCCCCAGTCTGATATATGTATCCCGAACAACTGCATCACACAAAAGAGTTCAACCATTATTGCACGTTCCCCGTCCTTGCCAGAAGTAGAGCAAATTGCGGCATGGATTGTGGCCATTGTCAAGCAAGCTTGATTGAGCGTTGTCAATCTCTTTTAACCCAGATAACCCAAATTACCAAACTTGTTCCGAATTTTTTGCCATTTCTGACGAATACGATTGCGTTCGTGCCAAGTAAGCCAAATTTCAACCGCAGATTACCTAAAGTTCATATCTCGACCTTCCGATAGAATATCTAAGAATAAGAAGATAAAGTCCCTTCTCTAGAAACTAGAGATAACCCCCACTATACCGCATATTTTCACATTTTCTTAGCCCAAGAAAACAATCGAATAAGAGATGATAATTTGTTTCTCTCGAGCCACAACGCCAGCACCTATTGTCCAGAACAATATGTCTCCGAGCTAGATTTTTACATGAGGGGAAAGCTCAACCTTCTAGAGGAAAATTTTAATTTTTTGGGGTAGTCGAATGTTCCAAAGAGTTTTCCACCAAAAGCCATTAGCCTATGCACTCGGACCCAAGAAAGCCCCTTTTAAATTTTTAACAAGTCGGTAGCTGTTGCGCACCGAGTAGTTCCCATTGCTCGTAAAATTACCAAATTTCAAAGAGTTCTCCACCAAAGGGCATTATGAACTTTTAAGAACTTTTTAAGACTTTTAAAAGTGAGTGACTTTGGTGGACATTTGAGACTTCCATAGAATTTTTATTAGAGACTTTTAAAACTTTCATCATGTACTTTTTGAAACTTAATAAGACTTTTATATCCTTATAGTATAATTATTATTCATGGACCTTGCTTCACAACTAATATTAATTAATTAAATTAAGCTAGTGATTCTTAATATTAAAATGAAATATGTTCTAATAGTACATGCCATCTATTCGACAAGAAGAATGCNAAAAAAAGAAAAAAAAAAGTTTTGCAGCATTAAAATTGTATAGTAAGAGAAAAGAGGATTTGAAGAGAGCCATGTAAAACCAACTAATTTGATGAGATTTCTATTTGGACTTTATCTTTGTAATTTTATTTATTAAAAAAGGCTCCGAAGTCTTCTAATTTAAGAAGTCAAGTCTTCCTACTTTGAATATATGGTGACTTATTGAGACTGTTAGAAAGATTCAATTGAATACACTGAGACTTTTTGAGATTTATAAAAAGTTTATAAAAATTTCAATTGAATACATGGAGACTTTTTAGAAGTATCAAAAAGTTACAATTGAATACACAAAATTTTGAAAGTTTTAAAAAGTCTTTAAGGCTCCGTTTGTTTTGAGGGATTTACTGATGAATTTGAAATCCATAGATTTCAATTTTAAAAGTTCAAATGTTCATGCATGTTGGGATGATAATAGAAGTTGGAGGATTTGAAATTCATGCTAAATATTTTTTAGTCATTATTTTGAAAGATTTGAAATGACTCCTCAAACTTAGTTATTTAAAATCCACTATTGACGACCACGCCGTCCGCGATCATTTAGTTTCATCACCACCGCGAGTAACCACCATCGGTGCGAGCTAGATAATTTATTTATAATCTTTTCAACATATTCATTCAAGGAGTGTGTAAGTAAAAGAATTTATATTTAAAAAATTTTGAAATCAAGGGATTTCATATCCCTCAAAATAAACGGAGCCTAAAAGTATTAACTGAATGCACCTCTTTATTTCACAAGTGAGAGACATGAGAGTACGTATAGTGACTGGTCGGTCCATTGGGCTTTTTATATAATATCAGTTGGGCTTGAATTCATCATATGTTGACATGATACGGCCCAGCAAATGCTGGGACGTAGGTTTTAACAAAGGCGCCTCTCAGATTCTCTTTCTCTGCTCTCTCTGCTTCAACTTGGTGTTTGCACCGTCTGCTCTGCTTCATTTCTGTGTTATTAGCATTATCTTCCATTAATTTCATTCATTTCGTTCAACAAGTCAAGGTAAGCGGGGTGATGAATCATTTATTTTCCACTTATAATTTGTTCTGCGTATTCTTTTTTCCAGTTTTGTAATTTTATTGTATTTTGCTTGATTACATCAACTGTGAATGAGTGTTATTGGAGTTAAAATATGCGTTTGTATGGTGTCGTCTTCGTTTGTTTCTTGTTGAATGGATGGCGATGTGTATTGATTTGCCCGCAGGTTTTATTTATTTTTATTTATTTGTTTGTTTATTTTTTGCATCAGGTTTAAATGGGTAGCAAAAAGAGGGAGTCAAATTCTATTGAAGAAGCTGGATTGGAAAATGTAGTAGAAAATAAGCAGCCAGCAAGCTTGGGCGATGAGAATATAGATTCAGAACCCTCGAGCAAGAGAATTAAAAAGGAGAAAAAGAAAAAGGAAACTGAAAATTTGGAGGGGGAAAACCACAAGGATGCTAATGCTGCGTCGACTTCATCGAACGCCCACAAGGTGTCATTGAATTCTATGGAGAGGAGGAAACTGAGAAAGCTGCTGGATAAGGAAAGGCACCAAGCAGAAGCCAAGAAAATTCAGTCGGCACCAGAAAAAATGGACTTGGATGTGAAAAGTGATGGTAATGAGAGTGCCGGGACAAGTAATAGCAGCGGTGGTGGAGTGTTGCCTGAGTTTCATATTGGGGTGTTTAAGGATTTGGCGGCGGTTGATACCAGTGTTAGGGAGGCAGCTGCAAAGGCATTGGTTACTGAATTGAGGGAAGTTCAGAATGCCTATGAGAGGTTAGAGAATAAGGATGAGGTGGAGGATAAGTCAAAGTTGGAAGCTGAGAAATGTGACGGTTTGAATAACTGTGCCCCGTCTGTTAGGTATGCTGTGCGGAGGCTCATCCGTGGTGTGTCCTCATCAAGAGAGGTCAGATT